GACCAAACGTGGGAAGGAGGTGTAGGGTCAGGAGACAACGGAGGGGACACAAGAGGGGAACGAGGAGGAAGACGAGCCGGAGAAGAGTCCAGGGGCGGGAACACAGGGCTGTAGACAGGAAGGTGAGGAGGAGGTGGGGGAGACACCGGCGAGCGGTCAGGGGAGGGAAGGCTGAGCAGTCGAAGAGCGGAGACCGGCGGCGACGACTGCGGCGGCTGCAGCGGCGGCTGGTGCTCGACCCTCGAACCGGCAGGGGTACGACGGCCTTTGGGAGAACACTCAACAGCAGCACCCCCAGAACCAACACCCCCAGAGTGAGAACCCTCCCCAGGCCCAGCGGCAACCCCATGCCCGCCGAGACAGACCACGCGAGGAGCCGCAGGACAAACACCCTCCTCAGCGCTAGCACCCCCTGAGGCCAAGAGTGGCAGCAGCGGCGGCGGCGGCGGCGGCGGCTGCAACGGCGGCTGCGACGGCGGCGGCGGCGGTTACGGCGACGACGGCGGCGACTGCGACAGCGGGGGCGGAGACACCAGGGAAGGGGGACGCGGCAAGGGCGGGGCGGGGGAACCACCAGAGTCAGCAGACTCCTCAACAGGAACAACTGACGGGAGGGGAGTGACATGGGAGACACCAGACGGGGCAGAACGTGGCGCGAGGGAAGGAGGGGCTACCGGGGGAGAAGGGGCAAGGAACAGGGGGGCGGAAACCGGGAGATCTCGGTGAGGGAAGCGACGGTAGAAGGAGACGGACTCGTCAAAGGATATGTCATGAGAGTGGAGGAAGAGGTGAGACTGCGGGTGGTAGAAGAGCCAGTCAGACGAGTCCAGGGGGAAACCAAGGAAGACACAGGGGACAGTGCGGGCAGTGAGCTTGTCCGTGCCAGAGGCACGAACGTGAGCAAGGCAGCCCCACATGTGGAAATCAGACGCGTCACTGCGGGACCCGGTCCAAAGGAGGGTCGGTGAAACCTGCGGCCGCTGGGAGCGTGGCCACAGGTTAAGCTGGTGAGCGGCGTAGCGAACGGTGAACGCCCACAGAAAGTGGGGTGCACCGGCATGGATCATGGAGGTACAAGCCACCTCCATGACCAAGCTGATGCGGCGCTCAGCAACCCCATTCTGCTGTGGCTAGTTCGGCAAGGTGTACAACTGGGTGTTGCCCTCCGCACGACAGAACTGTCCAAGCCGACCAGAAGCGAACTCTCCGCCACAGTCAGATTGGGGACACAACACGGGGAGACCGCGGTGAAGACGCGCAGCCACAACCCACGGGAGAAGAACGTCGGGCACGTTGGCCTTCTGCTCCAGGGGAAACACAGTGGTGTAGCGCGTGTAGTCGTCAACGAGCACAAGAAAGTAGCGCTCGCCACGCGGTCCGAGGACGGGGGCTGGGCCCCAAACGTCCAGGTGCAGGGTCTGAAGGGGAGCAGTGGCAGGGCGAAGCGAGGAGGAGTGAGGGGCACGGCGGAGCCGGCCCTCGACGCAGGGCGTGCACGGTGGAGCAGGCGAGAGGGGAAGGGCGGGGAGCGACGCGGGGAGGCCTAAGACAAGACCGTGCTAGGACATGTGACGCAGACGCAGGAGTGCAGGGTGACCTAGGCGGTGGTGCCACAAAAGGGACGGGTGAGTGAGAGACCGACATGAGCAAGCTGCAGCGACCTGGGAGGACGCACCAACCGGGGGGGAAGCGGTGTCTAGGGTGAACAGTCCGGACACCGGGTCCCGGGGGAACGTAGCAAGTGGGGAACCGGAGACAGCCTCAGAATAGACAGCGAAACGCTCGTGCCCGGGGAATGTAGTGGTGATGCCAAGGTCCTGAAGACACCCGGCACCAACCAGGTTCCTCGAGAACGAGGGAACGTGAAGGCCTGTAAGAGAGCCCGAGGGAACTGCTGGACAGGGAAGGGACGTGGAACTGCGAGCGACGACGGGACCCGCAGAGGGGTCAGCGAGAGAGACAACAGCAGGTGCAGCAAGCGGCGTAAGCGTGGAGCGGTCGCGGAAAAAACAGGCAGAAGCACCGGAGTCGAGAGTGAAGGACAGCGAGGCAGTGGCGGAGGCTGGGAATGGAGCCGGTGCAGAAACTAGGCTAGGCAAACGAGGCAGTCCTACGCCTGACACAGCAGGGGAGGCTAAGGTACACAAAAGTGAGACACCTAAGCTAGAGTACATAGGGTAATAAGATCCAGCAACACTAGAAGTGTCAGCATACAAAGCATGCAAAGCAGCACCTATCTGATCCATATCTAACTCAAAGATTGGCACGCCCTGGCGAAGCAGGCTGTGCCAGTCGGGGAGGTCCGGGGCTGGGCCAAAGCGACGACGAAAGAGATCGTCGAGGCGGCGGAAACAGCGGGCGGTCGGGTGCGGGCGGCGGCACAGAGTGTCGCGGAGAGGCCCGGTCTGAAGCTGGTACTAGCAGGTCACAGCACTGGTGCTGCCAGTAGACGCCAAGCTGCGCAGGCCACCACCTCGGCCACCACCGCCGGAGGTGCCGGGCCAACCAGGTGGGAGACGAGCCCACGGCTGCGACGGCTGCTGCTGGGGCTGCTCCGGCTGCGAAGGCGACTGCGTCTGCTCCTGCCCACCGGTGGTAGTCCCCTCAGGTGGACTACCGTCACCACCACCACTACCACTACCACTAGTGCTACTACCACGACCTCCCTGGCGGCCACGGCCACCACCACGCCCACGGCCACGGCCACGACCTCCCTAGACCGCAGCAGCCGTCTCGGTAAGAGGGGTCGCAGTGGCGACCGCAGCCGAAACGTCAGTAAACGTGCACTGGGAGGGGGCACAGCCGTGAAAGATAGAGACTGCCGGCGCACCGCTCGACTGAGCGATAGTGCGCTGGCGCGTCTCGATCTCGGTGAGAGTGTCGACAAAGGCGGTCAGTGAGAGGTCACCCGGATGCTGGCTAAGGAAGCGGTCGCGGGCACTAGCTAGGCGGTCCGGCAGGCGCATGGCGATAAAATAGAGGGTCATGCAGAATGGGGGGGGGGGCGCAGTGAGCTGGGCAGCAGTGCTGGCAGTGCGATAGCGAGTTTCTAAGGCACGCACGTGAGTGGCCAAGTCTACGACAGTAGGGAAGGCAGCAAGGTCTGGGAACAGCATCGGGAAGAGCAGGCGGCCGGCAGAAGCGGATGCAGGTGTGGAATAGCGAGCAATAACAGCGTCTAAATAAGCTTTGGCCGTATCAACTGTAGCGAAACGCGAGCGCTCAGACACAGGGAGGGCGTGACTGATAGCAACCTGAGGTACTGCATCGCGTGAGTCCCAGACCGCACAGGCAAGCGCAGCAGTAGAGAAAGCCTTACTCTCAGCGGAGGTGGGGTCAGCAGGGAGGGGAGCAGGTGCAGGGGGGCGGGGGAGCAAGCCATCAGGATGGACAACCAGCGAGTGTCCATCCTGGCGCTGACCTGTAAGCTGACGGCGGAGATCGGAGAGCCAGGCGACGAAGTCAACCGCGTGGCCCTCAGCGTCCAGGTGGAGCAAGAAGTCAGCCATCGTGCAGGGTCAGCGACACAGCTTCTCAGCGACACAGCGGCACAGCTCCACAGCTCGGCAGGAGCACAGCGGCACAGGGACACGGCGGCAGCACTCTCTAGTAGGGCGGCTGCGGGGCGCCCCAACGCGGGCTAGCAGAGGACACGGGGCCCGAGGTGGCACGGCAAGCCGAGCAGGCACGAGGAGGGGCCGGTCTGGCAGGAGGAGGGGCCGGGTGGGCGCACTGGGACCGGGCGGGCGCTAGGAGGGGCCTAGCACGCGCGGGGCGGCCGGGCAGGCGCGACTGGGGGCCGGGCGGGCTCGAGCAGGGGGCCGGGCGGGCACTAGGTGGGGCCTAGCACGCGCGGGGCGGCCGGGCAGGCGCGAGTGGGGGCCGGGCGGGCTCGAGGAGGGGGCCGGGCGGGCGCTGCTGGGGCCGGCTAGGAGCGGGCTCGACGGTCAGTGGGCCGGCCAGGAGTGGGCGCGTGGGGCTAGGGGGGGGGGGGCAGCTAGGAGCGGGCGCGATTGGCCAGGGGGCCGGCTAGGAGCGGGCGCGAACGGCCAGGGGGCCGGCTGGGGGCGGACGTGACGGCCAGGGGGCCGGCTAGGGGCGGACGCGATGGCCAAGGGGCCAGCTAGGGGCGGACGCGACGGCCAGGGGGCCGGCTAGGGGCGGTCGCGACGGCCAGAGGGCCAGCTAGGGGCGGACGCGACGGCTAGGGGGCCGACAAGGGGCGGACGCGACGGCCAGGGGGCCAGCTACGGGCGGACGCGACGGCCAGGGGGCCGACTAGGGGCGGACGCGATGGCCAGGGGGCCATCTGATGGCGGACGCGACGGCCAGGGGGCCGACTAGGGGCGGACGCGACGGCCAAGGGGCCAGTTAGGGGCGGACGCGACGGCCAGGGGGCCGGCTAGGGGCGGACGCGACGGCCAGGGGGCCGACTAGGGGCGAACGCGACGGCCAGGGGGCCAGCTAGGGGCGAACGCGACGGCCAGGGGGCCAGCTAGGGGCGAACGCGACGGCTAGGGGGCCAGCTAGGGGCGAACGCGACGGCTAGGGGGCCGACTAGGGGCGGACGCGACGGCTAGGGGGCCAGCTGAGGGCTGACGCGATGGCCAGGGGGCCGACTAGGGGTGGACGCGACGGCCAAGGGGCCAGCTAGGGGCGGACGCGACTGCCAGGGTGCCGGCTAGGGGCGGACGCGACGGCCAGGGGCTGACTAGGGGCGAACGCGACGGCCAGGGGGCTGACTAGGGGCGAACGCGACGACCAGGGGGCCGACTAGGGGCGAACGCGACGGCCAGGGGGCCAGCTAGGGGCGAACGCGACGGCCAGGGGGCCAGCGAGGGGCGAACGCGACGGCCGGGGGGCCGACTAGGGGCGGACGCGACGGCCATGGGGCCAACTAGTGACGGACGCGACGGTAAGGGGGCCGGCTAGGGGCGGACGAGAGACTAGGGCGCGAGCGGGAGCAGGCGGGGGGACCTAACCTACTCGATACCATGTTAGATTACGTTAATGCTTTACTAGAAGGAGAAACCTAGAACATATACCTGTTGGGTTGTACTCGCTAGAAACACACACCTAGACTAGCCTATAACTTCTACATAGATCATATATATAAGTTGACATTATTTTCTACTTCAAGTACTTGTGTCTCCTGCACCACCTTTCAAATTCTTTCAGTCCGCATGCCACTCACTCACGCCTTGTCCACATGTCACTCATTCAAGCCTTGTCTGCTACCAGGATGTTGCTAACCCCGAGCATGTAACGACTTGCCTCTGTACAGGTTGGGGTACACTATAGTCGCATTGCGCTCGTCGGACGGCGACTGCAGCACCAAGAAGAGGGGCCTGCCCTTGCACATGTGGGGTATACCGTATACATGTCAAGTCAGCCCCGTTCATGCCTTGTCTGCTACCAGGATGTTATTGATGCCATGTACATAGAAAGATGTCCCCTTGTACAGGTTGGGGTACACAATGGTTGCGTTGCGCTCGTTGGATGGCGACTGCAGCACCACGTGGGTTGAATTGCTCGCACTGTTCTTCACCAGGTACTTTCCTGGAAGCAGCGTGTTGTACTTGCGGAGAGGGGAGCAGGGGAGAAGAGACAGGAGGAGGGGGTAGGAATTTGAAATAACCAACAGCAGAGTCATATTTCTGCCCCCTGGGGCAATTTCACCAAAGACCTTGGAAGCAGTTGGGGACAGGAAGTGCAGCAGAGGAAGGAAGGAGAGGGGAAACGACCAGATGATGTGGGGAGTGCATGCAGATTCGCCAGTCAAGCTGGTTCAATGAAGCCTCTCCGCTATAAACAGACCAATCGCAGTGATTCAAACGCACCTGAGTGCCGGGAGCATCTGCTAGCAGATCCGCATTTGACTTGTATCCATCAATGATTTGATAGAGCGTAGTGTCCTCTGCGTTGTACCCGTTACAGACTGACACCGCCCCTCCCACAGCAGCATCCATGGCGTTCGGCAGGGGCATGAGGATCGTCGCCTTTTTGTTGCCCTGGAGAATGTCGCGCAGTGTGGTAACCAGATCTGCCACGCCAGCAAAGAAGGACGAGGCAGAATACACTGAACATGAGGGCGGTCCTGTAGAGGCTCAACGGTTAGCTGCGTTGCTACCGATGGGTGAGGGCTCGGGTTCGACCCCCCGTGCTGACCTCGGTGTCAAGTCCTCTGAAAAGGGCGGCACGCGGCTCACACTGGGCGTGGATTTTCCATCCTCATTGACCCGGCGAGGGGTGTAAATATTTGGGGAGGTGGTTACGACCTAAGCCGGGGGTAATTCCCAGGGGTTCTCCCCCACACCTTTACCTTTACCTTTACTGAGGGGGGGGGGAAGCTAGGGAGGGGGGGGAAAGGAGCGGGAGGGGAGAGATGGGGGAGTAGGAGAGAAGGATAGAGGAGGGGGGAAGGGAGGGAGGGAGGAAGGCGCGTCGCACGCGTGTTACCGCCATGTTCGCGCGCGTCGCAACTGATGTTTCGAACGGACGCGGACCCACGGGACGCAGCTGTCGCACGGACGCAGCTGTCGCACGGACGAAACTGTCGCACGGATGCAGCTGTCGCACGGACGAAACTGTCGCACTGATGCAACTGTCGCACGGACGCACCTGACTGCGACGCCATGAGGAGGAACGCCGGGCTTTCCGCCAGCGCCGCCAGCGCGCCCTGAATCTCCGTCAGCTGCGCTGACGTGGCAGCCGATAACAGAGTCCGTCGATCTGTCAACGAGGAAACAGCGGCGCTGGAGCCGCCGACGATGGGAAGAACGGGCGAGGCGAGAAGGAGGAGGAGAGCGACAGCGAGGACGGAACGCGACGACGGCGACGGCACATGCGACGGCGATTTGGCGAGAAGGAGTGGCATCATCGGCGTCCTTGGGTTCGATAGGGGACAGAGGATGACGGCGGGGAATACCAGTGCGGATAAGGGCGAGGAGGGGTACTGAGACCGCTACTCGGAGGAGGCGGGGGAAGGGGAGAAGGGGCGAGAAGGGGATTCCACGTGAGGCACGGATTGGGGGAGGCTGACCGAACGAGACGCTACTATGAAGACAGAGTGACAATATCGAAGGCTTCGGCCTGAAAACTTGCTGCGCAGTTTTGAAAGCGTCTCACGTTGTGACAGCAAGCTGACGATTCCTACAGCGAACGCGTCGAGTGTCGCGAAATGGGTTGGCGAGGGTGTGATGGAGGGAAACAGGAGAGGGTGGACGAGAGCGCGGGGAAGACAACCGAGAGACGGTCTTAGTGGGTGCCTTGCTTCGCATGCAAGATTCGCTGCTGGAAGGGCTACTGCTGCGTTCACCTTATGTCCAGTGGAGTTGAGATGAGAGTTCAGAACGCGAGAGCATGGTGCTGATCGGTTGAGAGAGATGCTGTTGTGTCCTCGTTGCAGGGGCAGGAGAGAGCGAGCAGCTTGTGGGACCCGTTCTGTAGGTATCTGTTTGAAATGACATCCAATCAAAATGGAAGATCCCGATGCTGTTTCTGAGGTTGCCCAGCTTGCGAAATTGCATATTTCAGTCGCGAAAGAGCCTACGGGTTTGGTCTAGGGCATGGTAAACATTTCGACCTGTCCAAGCTTGGCATAAGGCACATCGAAAAGAACGATTTCATTCCTTCGCAACCAACCACAATCGTCTGGGTAGACCGCTTTTCGTTTAGTGCGTCAACCTGGTTATTTTTCTCCAAAGCAATCTCCTTTTCACGGGGCGTCCATGGTCTGCCCGAAACAAGCTGTTCAAAGCTCATCCAACCTTTGGAGGTCGGTTAGACGAGCTGTTCAGCCGATTTGCCCGTGAAGGCTGTTTACATGAAGTTTCCAGTGTTACAGCTGGTCTGAATTTAGATGGAATTCTCCAGGCAGTCGTCGAACAAAGATATCAAATTCGATTCGGTTTTCACCGAGCCGTGGGTGCTTATCACCAAGCCTCGATAAGGCCTCAAACACTTATTAACGAAGCTTCTAAACTATAAACCACATGTCACGGGTGGCTGCAGAACAGGGCCGTGGCGGGGGGTGGCAGCATGTGTTGATGATGGCTTTGTTGGTTGGTTGGCTGGCAACGCGCAACCGACCCACGGGACCGTAGGGCGTTGAAGTGGTAACTGTAGCTTATTAACGAGTTGTAACTAGTTTATTTGCTTGTTATGAATGGAACTTCCGAGTAGCGCGGAGGGCAATGGCGAAACTGTGAACGAATGAATGACAATAAAATGAAAGACAACACAATATATAGGAAACCTAGGGTGATCCTGGACGTAGGATTGGAAGGTTCGGGAAGGGTGTCGAAGGGCCTAGATGTGTCGAAGTGAGGTCCGGAAAGGCCCAGGAGGTTCGAACTGAAAGGTTTGGAACCCTATGTGGTTCGGGACTGTTCGAGTCGTACGCCTGTAGCAAGCCTCAGGAAGAAATTACTAATTCCTTACAGTCTCCCCCTTCTAGATAAGCACACAAATGAACAAAACTACATACACTCTAACTGAATCTCATCGTAGTTAAAGCGAGAGGTCAAAATAGTGAAGGCGGGTCCAACTTGAAAAGGCCCAGACGTCCGTTTTTGCGACTAAGGGACAAAACTGCAATGGGGCAGAGGGTACACTGTCGAGAAATGCAAGCAGAGGAAACTGGGCGAGAAGGTGCAATTACCTGATTGGTTGGCGGGGAAAACATGTCGTACAGTGGGGAAAATGGTATGGGGAAAATCGCAAGCAGTGCGCCACCTGTCGCCCAGCCCCCATTGCTTGTATTTGCACCAAGTGGGTCCAACTTGAATTTCAAGTTGAACCCCGGTTCACTACTCCAGCAAAACTGAGGCTGGGCCCCGATTGGTCGAAACGCTAACCACGCAAATATATGATTTCGTGGCCTACGGCTTGGTAAAATTAGAACATATTCACTGTTGGGTCGTTTCTAGTTGGGCCCAACTAGAAAGGGGGGTCACTATTATAGTCTCTCGCTTTAAGACACCACTGTTAAGAATCTCGATCTTCGTCGAGGAACTCCATCCTGAAATAAATCGTCTGATGTTGTAAGAGACTAAGTATAAAACTACAAACACGAACACTTGGCAAATCCTCAAGTGTTGGTCTAGGATCTTTGTTGGAATGGTAGACTAGTAAGACAGCGGAAGTCTTGTAAAATGTAAAGGTCAAGGTTGAATAACCTGAGTATGTGAACTTGTGAGTAAGCAAAGTTAATAATGAAAACGACCTAACAAGGATTTATAGTTCTAGGAAAAGTACCTATTCGCTAATGTACATTTTCGTCACTATCGCGCTATGCGCCTTATATGATAATGAAGAGATGCGACTGTTCGCGTGACTGAAATGACTGTCCTGTGACGAGCGCTATTTGCTGACGTCATACTTACGAACTTATCTTCTACAGTATGATTCGACACTAACTACACTTAATCGACTTACAGAAATGCTAAGTATCAATTATATCACAACACTCCCCTTCATTTCTGGAAGTTCGATAGTGTCACTTCTTGAAGATTCCGCAGAGCTTGTTACAGTACTGGAACTTCTGTCGTGTCAGCTTCTTCGTGAGGAAATCGACAGCCATTTCGTTGGTCGAATAGTAGACCAATCACATTCTCCCCTTCTCGACTTCATCCTTGACGAAAAAATAACGCAGAGAAATATGTTTCGTCCTATTGACGAAGCCAGGCTGATGTGCGATACGAATTGCACTTTGATTGTCGCACTGTAGAGTAAACTGGGTAGTCGTCGTCAACTTCGCTTCTTCCAATAGTTCCTGTAAGTGAAGTCCTTCGTGTGTTGCTGTGCAGACATCAATAAATTCAGCTTCAGCAGAGGAGAGAGCAATCAACTCCTGCTTTGTCGAATTCCAAGAAATAGGTCCGATAGGTTCAAGCCGGTATATGAATCCAGTGCGCGACCGTCGGTTAGTAGAGTTAGCAGCGTGATCGGCGTCGACGAAACCGTGTAGATATAGTGTTTTGCAACCGATGACGTTGTAGACTAAACCGATGTTAGGTGTCGAGATGAAATACTGAAGCGCACGGAGAAGATCAAGCTGATGTTCTTTTTCGGGACGGCGGAGGAACTGAGCGAGCTGACTGGTCGCGTAAGCTAGATCGGGACGACATGTGACAGCGGCGAAGAGTAGACAGCCTAACTGCTGTTGATAGATTTGTAAACCAGTTGAGTTTAACAGTGCAGTGTTCGGTTTGTGGTCAGTCGGTAGTGAGCGATACGGTGTAGAGACTGCAGTAGGTGTGAGGTTGAAGCGGGCAGCGAGCGTTGCTGCGTACTTCGAAGCGGTGAGATGAATAGTCGTCGGTGAACAGCTAATATTCAGACCAAGAAACTGTGAGAATGTTTCGACTGTAGAGTTTTTTGTAATTTCAGTATGAAGTTATCGGCAAGGGAATCGGTAGTGCTAACGAAGAGGATGTCATCGACGTAGGCGACGAGTAAAATGTAGTTGCTGCCGTCGTTTAGAAGATACATTCCCTGGTCATGCGGTAACTGTCGAAATCCGGCAGTAATCAGTTGTGAGTGGAGGTACTGCTGCCAGAGCCGTGGTACAGGGATTTTTGTAGACGGCATACGCTTGGTGGGTTAGTAACATAGGAATGGGGGTACTCTACCAGGATGAGTGCGTCGACGGGCGCGTAGAGAAACGCATTTGACACGTCGATTTGTCGAAGTCGCAAATTACGGCAGGCGGCGACACAGAGTAGAATGCGAACGCTTGTATGTCGGCCGACAGGAGCAAAAGTTAATTCATAGTCGATGCTGTAAGTCTGTTCGAATCCGCGGATGACCCATCGCGCCTTGAACTTTTCAAACGACCCATCTGCATTAGTCTTGACGCGGAAGACCCATTTTCCGGTAAGTACCTTCTTCCCTTATACTTCTGAAGTCGGTATTAAATCCCATGTTCCGCGATTCTTGAGATCTGCTAGCTCTCTGTCCATGGCTTCGCGCCATTTCTCTCGGTAAGGGCTCGTAAGAGCTTGTCGGACGGTTTTCGGTTCAGGTATCTTACTGTTGTTGCACTGTACTGCTACTGCAAATCCCAGTATCTGTTATCCTGTTTCTGTAAAACGCGGACGTTCTTCGTTTGCACCTGCGATTTTTTTTTCTTCTTCTTCTTTTCCTTCATCCCCCCCAATTTCGTCAGGTGTAACACGAACTGCTTCGTCGGAGATGGCGGGCATCGGCTGCTGTTGGCGATCGCGTTCGTAACTGAGAAGGACTTCACGAACGTCATCCGGGTCAGCATCTGCAAGAGGAATAAACTCTGGTATGCCAGTCGAGGTTACAGGTCCGGGAATGTCAGTTGCGGCAGCTTCAGATGCTTCAGAAACGGCTTCGTCTCGTACATCAGCTTCGGCCTTGTCAGTTGCAAATGCACGCGAGCCTTCGAACAACCTGGCGGTGTTGGCAGCTGCTGCCTGGTGGGCACGAAAAACGGGCAAGGTGAGTCGTTCATAAAAAAGACAATCACGGGATGGGACAACTTGGTTGGAGCGAAGATCCAAAATCTTCCATGCGTGATACTGTTTTTCAATGCCGAGATGTACCCCCCATTTTGCTCGTTCGGAAAATTTGCCGAGGGCCGCAGTTGGAGGACGAAATTGTACAACACACCCGAAAACTCGTAAAAGTTTGGTGTTTCCCAATGTACGCGTCCACTGCAGGTGCGGAGAAGAAAATTCGGGCAGGGACGTTGAAGAAAGAAGATTGTGTAACAGTACGGAGTGGTCCATCGCATACGGCCAAAAACGCGGTGGAAGTGCTGCTTGCGTCAGCAGAGCACGCATCTTCTCCTGCAGAGTCCTGTTCATCCTTTCTGCTACCCCCATCTGTTGGTGTGCATGCGGCAGAGACTGCTTCCGTTTGATGCCGAGTGTCTGAAGGTATTATGTGAAAGTGTTGCTGGTGTACTCCCCTGCACCGTCGCTCTGGAATTCTTGCAGTTTCACGCCAGACTCTCTTTCAGCGACAGCGAGCCACGCGACGAAAACGGAGTGCGCGAGATAACGCGCGGGAAGATTTGCTGTCCAGACATAGCGTGTAGACGCTTCGATAAATGTTATGACATACTTCTCGTCTTGAGGTCCTCCTTCAGGTAAGTTTAGTATGTCGCTATAGACTTTCTGCATCAGTTTGTAACGAGTTGAACCAGGAAAGTGGCTTGGAAACGGATCGTGGGTAAGGTTGGCAACCGGACAGGTGGTGCAAACTGTCGGTCGAGACGGTGGCTTCAGCTCCGTGCCGTCAG